ACAATGTTATGGTTTCTTTTTGAATTCGTGTCATCCTTCCAATTAATAAACACAGCCACTCTGGTTTAAAAGCAAATCTTTGTTATCACTTCTTTCCAGCTAGCAACAAACATCCAAAGGGCACCTGCGTAAACAATCCATGCCCTTCTTTATAAACAAACTGAAGTCTTTGAAGTGCAAGGTCAAAATGATCAAAGGGAAAAAAGAAAAAGCAATGTTTCCAGGTCTCAACTTCCAACCTCCAAGTGCCAGTGTAACTTCTCTTCCCTCTCAGGTTACTACCTTTATATACCTTTTAAATCTTCTTTATGTTTCAGGCTCAAAAGAAATAAAGTTCTTAAAAGAAACCAAATAAAAAGAAAAAATCCATCCCAACCAATATTGTAGAAATAAAGGAAAAAAATTAATCCATAGATAAAAAAAGAAATAGAAGGAGAAAATCCAAGACTATCACTTTTAAAAGTAAAAAGTAAAAAATATTCACAAAACTTCTATCGATAGAAAAAAAAATAAAAAAGATAACACACTGTCCAATTATGCTAATTCCGCCACTTATTTCCTTTTCTTTACCAATTTGATTTAACTTCAATCTTTTTTGGGCAGTCTTTTATAAAAATAAAATTTCCCCACTAAATGGACACACTTTCTCTTTCTGTTTTCCTCCCGTTGTGGAGCTGTCCCGACTTCAGCAGCTTGAGGCTGTGCTTTTTGTTGCCGGCAAGAAGAGATTCTCTTGGATCGATCAGGGACTTTGCGATGTCCCTGAGAGCAGCAAGACATACTCTTCCCTGTCACCGTCTCTTCGGGACAGTTTAGGTCCAGATGGACCATCCAGTGGCAAAAGTATCAACTGCGATCTCGGAGCCCCGAGATCGCACATCGTGTCATCGCAATGTCAGCTCCTGTCTCTTGGGAGCCTGTTTGCACTGGCAGAGCACTCGGGCCACCACAGGCGACCCCAACATTAACATTGAGCTGGTTATATCCACCCCAGCTCCCCAAGGTCAAACACAACCCTGATGCAGCCCTCAATGAAATCAAGCTTGACACCCTTGCCTTATCTGAATCTAGTTTGTGTGTGTTCTTCAAAGTTTGGAGGTTGAATTCCAAGATTCTAGTTGGATCACATCAATGAAGCCAATGATTAGGACTCGCTTCTTCTCTGTGGACCTTGATGGCAGTAAAAGGTTTCAAATTGCTAGTGTAATTTAAGCAGAAGCAACATACAAGATTAACTTGCTCTTGTTAGCAACATAGGACAAGGCAAGAGACCACTTGAGACAGAATGATGAAGTTGTGGCCCTATGGATTTTTGTTGTTAGTTCTTATATGCAGTTGATATGGCCAGTCATGGGAGTAAGAGCCACGGCAGTGGCGCAGTGGTTAGAGTGCAATACTGCAGACTACTTCTGCTGACTGCCAGCTGACTGCAATTTGGCAGTTCAAATCTCACCAGGCTCAAGGTTGACTCAGCATTCCATCCTTCTAAGGTGGGTAAAATGAGGACGCAGATTGTTGGGGGAAATCTGTAAACTGCTTAGAGAAGGCTGTAAAGCACTGTAAAGCGGTATATAAATCTAACTACTATTGCTATTATTGCTGACCTGCCCAAATTTAGAGAAATTTAGTTAATGAAACTGTTGCTAATATTCAGCATATTTTTTGTGCCCTGGTCTTAATAGCTCCCACAGTTTATGAATACATTATCTAATTTCTTTTAAAATAGGCAACATGAGTTTAAGGCAGGGATGTCAAACCCAAGTCACATGATATATTGGGACTCCCCCCCCTTTGCTAAACTGACCGTGGCCGTGGCTAGCGCATGACGCATTCTGTTCTGACCTAGGCTTCCTAAGAGCATGGAGCAAACTCCTTGTCCTGACAAAAAACCCTTTTATTAATTTATTGTGAGTTCTTCTCATTCACATCCAGCAAAGTCTTTCAAGGGAGGATTTACAGTCACAGACCTTATATGGCATGGAGAGCTGGCAAGCCGATATCTTCAAAACTTGGCAAGGAGTCTCGGAGAGTCACGAACCAATTAAGCAAACGAATTGTCTCCTGCAAACTCCACTCCCCCTTGGCTCCTCTATTATTTCCTCTGGGAGGGGCCATTTATCATCCACCTTGGCCTTACTCCCAAGTTGAACCCTGTTCTTTAGCTGTTCCCTTCATCTGGCAACTCTGAACATATGCACATTGGGAACAGGCTTCACCTGTTCATCTGCCTCACTGATGTTTCACTCTGAAAGCAGCTGATAACTGGCATATGGCTCTGGCCCTCTCTCTGCCTCTGACACACAGCCCTCATCAGAGCCTTCCCCAGACTCCAGGACTGGCACATGTTCCTCCCCAACCTCCTCACTGTGTTGTGGCTGCTGGCGGGCCACAACACAGAGTTCCAGGCTCTCATGATCACTATTTGCGACCTTATAAGTTGGCTTCCAACAAGCAACACCAATGGAGGAAGCCACATTCGCTTAATGACCTTACAATTCATTTAACCGCGGTGATTCACTTAAAAATGGTGGCAAAAAAAGCTATAAAATCAGGTGCAGCTCACTTAATGACTTTGTTGCTTAGCAACAGAAATTCATAAATCGAGGACTACCAGTTTGCTTGTAGGTTTACTTATTTATTTAACGGGCTCTTATTTTAACCTTGCAGGCATTTGGACACTCATTCTCCGTCCACCGTAAAGTAGCTGAAGATGGTGAGACCAGGGAGGAGACCCTCCTTCAGGAGTCGGCATCCAAGGAAGCTTATTACCTTGGGAAGATCTTGGAAATGCAGAACGAGCTGAAGCAAAGTAGAACGGTGGTTACCAACGTTCAAGCGGAGAATGAACGACTGACAGCAATTTTGCAGGACTTGAAAGAGGTAAATCAGGTTAAGAACATGTGACAAGGGAAATTTGGAAATAGACGATTTAAAGATAGGATGCAGACGTTGCCTGAACTGGATTTACTCACATATTCATGTTTCTCAAAAAATAGCTATAGGTTGACTTAATGACTATTGAAAATTACAATGGATTCCCCCCACCCCAGATAACCCAGTTCCAAAGTTTGATGGCCACCTGCAGTCATGTGACTATATTTTGGGCACTTGTCATGTGGCCTGCATTTATAGTTTGATACATCCTTTGGCCACAGGGTAACGATTTATGATGTCTTTGCAGAAGCTTGGTATTTATGGTAAAAAATGCACCATAGCAAACAATGGATTTGCATAAGACTATGGGTTTGGTTTACAGATATAGTGATTTGATTAATGATTCTGCAATAAAGGTCAAAAAATTGTAATCAAGTAATTTCATTGCTGCTTGTAATTTTTCCTACGCATAAATGTTTCCATATATAATCATGTTTCAAACATCCCTTATTGTCCTCTTGTTGTCCCACAGATAATTTTGTTTTTAAATCTACAGACAATAAACTGGAGAAGGACCAGAACCTAATTAATTTCTTGCTTTTAAATGACCTAATTTTTCATTGTATATAAATGAATGGGTCAGATAGTCCAAAGTTGTCCAAAGAAGACAGGTTTTAATTAATTATTTTAAAATGATGTGAAGGCTGAAGTGCCCAGTTTAGACAAAATGAGAAAATTAAACCTGGAAGCAAATTCTTCAATCTTTCCGCTCTTATTGCTTAGAGGTTTCTTGCTGTTTCTCTATAACAGTAAATCATGTTTAAAACGGGCAATTAAGAATGTCTCTAATTTATAAGATTATAAGAATTCCTCCGGCCTGGCCCCCAAAAGACAACATTTCAGGTTACATACAAAACAACTATATTTTTTGAGGAAGGTTCTTACTCCATGGCGGCTGGTACTGACAGCATACTCTATGAATTTGGACACCACATCCTGTCATTAAACTGTCTACCCCCTTGGATTTATCTATGGTACTTCTCTTTTAAAACCATTTAAATTTATGACCAGCAGCCTTTCTGCTGGCAGCAAATTCCACAGTTACCTAGGTGTAGTATTTCTTTTGTTCATCCTGAATCTCTCCATATTTAGTGTTAATTGGTGATTTTGCGTTCCAACATGTCTATGAGGCAAAATTTCTGTTTATTCACATATCCTTATTATGCACGGTTTAATCTGTAAAAAGTCATTATTCAGAGATCTTTTGTGGAAGGAGGAAAAACAGTAGTTGGTAATCATGGAAAAATACAAATAAAAGCAATGTTGAAGAAATTGTTCAACATTTTTTGTTAATTAGATGGAGGAACCATCCAATTAAAATACTCACTGACCTTATTGGGGCTTAAAAGTAAGAAACCTCTCAACCCTAATAAAATAACCCGAACCAATTTTATAAGGATTTCTATTTATCTTCTGATAATCTTATCTGCATGCAGCAGATCTGATCTCATGTCCTCAGTAGTCCCCCTGCATGCACCCTTGCCGACTACCATCCCCTCCCCCACCTCCGATCCACAAAGCCAGAAATATTGAGGAATTCTGAGCTACAGTACTGAAACTTTGTTTAAAAGGCTTCCTACCAGGTTAAGTTTCAGATGTTCTGACCACTTACAAAATGTCAGTTATAAGATAGGCTGAAGGAAATGTTACACCTATTTATTGCTCGGTTTAGTCATTGCCCTATCATCTCAAAACTACGTTCAAAATATTAAGTTGATTAAGTAAGCACTAAATTATTTGAATGAGCGCCTATGATTAAGGCATCAGGATAGAAACTGGGAGACAGGAAGTTCCAGTCCCATCTTAGGCACAAAGCCAACCTAGGCTTCCCCAAAAAGCAAGAGGCAGAGTCCTAAACCACTTTTATTAGACGAATGTGAGTTACTCTCATTCACATTCAGCAAAGGCCTGGCAAACAGTCTTTCAAAGGAATATTTAAGACTACAGACCTTATCTCTATCTTGGAAAGCTGCCATGTAAATATTTTCCAAATGAGGTGCTGTGCAAGGAAAGATTAGGCACAGAGTCTCTGAGATTCATGGACAGATCTTCACACTCCTAAAACAAATCTAACGACTGACTAAACAAATTGTTTCCTACAAAAGCCCACTCCCCTTTCGTTCCTCTTTTATTTCCTATGGGAGGGATCAATCATCTTTCACCTGTGACTTTACTCCCAAGTCTATCCTGATTTTGGAGTTGTTCTTTTCTTCTGGCAGCTCTGCACATACGCACACTGGGAACAGGCTCTAGCTGTTCCTCTGCCTCACTGCTGTCTATCTCCGTAGGCACCTGATCACTGCCAGACAGCCTTGGCCCTGTCTCTGCCGCCAATGCAGAGCCCTTGTTCGAGCCTTCCCCAACCTCTAGGACTGGCCCATGGTCCTCCCCAACCTCTTCACTGTCCGACTCTGCTGCCAGCTCCACTGGCTGCTGGCGGGCCACAATATTGGGGGATCTTAAGCTAGTCGCTTTCTCTCACCCCTGGGAAGGAGGCATTGGCAAACCACTTCTGAAAAACCTTGCCAAAAAAACCCTTATCCAGGCAGCCTCCAAGAATTGGACACGACTGAACAGAAGATAAAAGTACGAACTGCACTGTTAGTGACTGTTAAAAATGTATGAAAGTAACTTTACTGGCTTGCATTGGTAACATACCACCAAGTATGAAGTTCATAACATTTTTAGTGATGATCTTCTGGAATTTTCTCTGATTTTTATCACTTTCAGTTTTCAAGTTTGGCCTTTGAAGACTTTTGTTAAGGAGAATATCAGTCCATTAAGTTGATGTTGGAAGAAATATCCATCTGGTTCAGTTCCAAGCCGGGAGAAATGCATTGGAGACAAAATGGAGGCTGGAGGCTGATTGGAAAGAGGGCCTATTTATTGATGAAGCAGAAGCACATGGGTGGTTCTGGGCAGCTGACCACATGGAGTTGAGAGGGAGGGAGTTTTTATACCTTCTCTTGGGCTTTGCACTTGAGCTTCCTGTTCCTGTGGAAGAACATGTATTCTATTGGCTGTTGTAGGGGTCACAACTAGCTCTGTAGGTTGTCTGAGAAGGTTGATTGAAGTTTGGACGCTGATCCAATGTCCTTAGAAGATTGTGCAATGTAGTGAGTTCTGCTGCTAGTGGGTTAATCCTATTATGTCCTGAAGGGTCATGTCTTAATCCTTTCATCCTGGATCTGAAGGTCTTTTGTTTTGTAGATAGGCTGGCCCATTCTTTCTCAATGGGCACAACAATCTGCTGGGGGTGGTGGGGAGATTGAGTCTGCTTTCTTTCTTTTAAGAAAAACATGTTTGTCCACTTCCCATCCTGGGAAATATAATATTCTGCCTTTTGATATTTCTCAAAATATTTCATTCTTCTAGGAGAGGAGTGGGTGCTAACTTTCTACACTGAGTTTATTTTTCCATATTTTTAATGGAATGTTTTAAACTTGTTTTATCATTATGCTGCTGATTTCAATATTGCGTTAACTGTTGTTGTTTTTTACAATCGAATCGGCTTTAGATAATTTTATTTTACAATTTAAGTGATAAATCGGTTTTCCTAAATTGAAAATATAGATTTAATCTTGCCTATTCTTTTGGCTACGTTTACGTATGTCCCTTTATTGAAGGGAAAATAATCATCTGAAAAGACATACAATGGAGATCATGCTATGCATTATAATGAATGCCTTTACTTATCCACTTGTTTCCCCGGAGGTTAATTCTGAACCTTAATTCTCTTTTTGACTAAAGTCCCAAACCTCATTATTAGTGCAAACAAGTTCTTGGCTCTGGTTTTCTGATTTAATGGGTTCCTCTGTGACTTGCCCTACTACTCATTGGAGAAAAGGAGGATATGGAAAGGAGTGACAGTAATTATTCAATTGCATGATTGTGTGCTAGACAAGCTGTTTATTTTTGTTAATTTTCAACAGCCAGGCCTGTCAGCATTCAGGAAGGGGATACAAAGGTTATTTGGAGGTGAGAGAGCAGTATGACTCTTTCATTGCAATGGTCAAACCCACCGTCAAGCTTTAGGATTGCGTATGTTTGGTTCTTTTAGCTTTAAATGCTTCAGATACGTAGGAGCAACTGCTTATTTTTAATTGCAACTTGCCTATGTGCTTCTTTAATCAAAGTAATAGTACTGAATGGACATCATTGAATTAATTTGTTAATCTTATCTTATAAAAATGCATGTTCTTCCTTGGGGCCAACATATTACGTATGTTCTTTTCAATCGTATGTTAATTGTTAATTTGGTGTTTTTTTTAAAAAAAATTGTTCGTCGCACAATCAGCCAGATGTTCAGACTGGATTTGGCATTTTTGTCCAACTATCGAGTCCTTCCCAAGGACCTGGGATAGGCATTATTATGTTTATGTGTATTTATTTATTTCTTTTGTCAACCATGTATAAGATAACAGATATAAGTATAAACATGATTATCAATATAGGAAACGGATATGAATAAGGGGACACAGTAGGACAGGGACGGTAGCAGTGTGGGTTCCTACTGGTTTGGACTGGTTTGGCCGAACCGGTAGTGGTTTGGCAGCCCGGGTTGCTGGAATCGGCAGTGACCTAGGCCTGCCACACCCTCAACCGGTTGCCTGGTCTCTTCTCCCGTCACTGGCATGTTTGTGCACATGCCCAGAACAGTTTTTTTGTAAACCACAGCAACATGTGGTGGGTGGGCACGGAAGCAAAGTGAGCAGTGAGCATGCAAAATTTTTGTGTGCGTGCAAAATAACCTCTCTTAGCAAACCAGTAGTAAACCGGTTATGAACCCACCACTGGACGCTTCTGCACACCCCTTAGGAATGGGGTGAGGTCAACAGTAGACAGTTAAGGTTAAAGTTATGGGGATTTGAAGATGTAACAACAGAGTCAGGTAGAGCATTCCAGGCACTGACCACTCTGTTGCTGAAGTTGTATTTTCTGCAATC